TCAACTCTGGATCTCTCTGCCCAGGGAAGCCAGGATGGCCCCCTCCCTGCTTTCCTTCCAACAGCAGGCTAAAACCTATTTATTCAGACAGGCTTTCAAAGAAGAAGGTTTTTAAGATCAATCCAGAGGGTGCTGTGGTTATTTGGATATTTTTGGATGGTTTTTACTGAGAATTTTAATGCTGTTTATATTTACTTCTGTTTTAATGTTTGTATATCTCTATATTTTAAATTGTGTATTAATGCTTTTATGTTAAGCTGCTTTGAGTCCCCTTCGGGAGACATAAAGTGAGATTTTAAAAATAATAATAATAATTATTATTATTATTATTATTATTATTAATTATTAGCTGACAGGGGGAGCTCATCCGCGTCTCTCCAGATTCGAACCTGCAACCTGTCTGTCTTCAGTCCTGCCGGCACAGGGATTTAACCCACTGCGCCACCTTGAGCAAGTGACACTCTTTGAGACACCAGTCATCAACATGACATATCTATACAATGTACAATTTGTCCTTTTCTTTCAGATTGTGTTCAAAATCCAAAAAACATAGAACTCTCCCTTGACCTTCTCTATTGATGAATGCATACAAAATATCCCTCCTTTCAAACATATAAGAAATGACAACTAGTCATTCCTGAATTAAATTATCATTCTTTTTCATTCTAAGCCTAAAATAAAGCTGTATTCTTAAGAAGAATTCATTTAAAAAACCTGAAGTAGTCCACTGATTATACATCATAAATTAAGGTACATCTTGGCAATGTGAGCCAGAGGAGGTTAGATGACAAAATGTTAACATAATATAAGCATAGGAAATCATCATGAAAGCTCTTAAATATACAATTCATGTAGATTTGGCTACTAGCCAAGAGTTACAAAAGCCAAAAGTCACACAATTTATTCTGTCAGCACTATTTAAATAATTAAATGGTAAATATCTAAAATGTTTACCTTCAGTAATTAAATTAATTTTCCAAAATATTAAAATATAGCCAATCAAATTAGCCCTGTAATGTATTGACAGTATAACAACCCACTTATCAGTGCCACAGAACATATTTGAATTTTAGTGACAAAATAGTATGTGCTTTATCATTTCTTCTCTTGTTTTTGACTATATTTACTATGCACATATTGAATTCAGTAAGAACACTGCTCTCTTCTATCACGAGCATTATATTGGGAGCTGCTGTAGTTTTTAGTTAAAATTAGGTAATTATACAACAACAGGCTATTCATTTAAAAAAATACTTATAAATTACAAATATCAAAACAGGAGATAACCTACCCTATTCCTAAAACTACTGACATTTTGAAAATATTTGATGTATTCAAATATTTAGTAACTGGTATATCATAACCATAATAATTTTAACTGGTGCATTATCGAGTCCCTATGCAAGAGAGTTTTTAAAAAATGAAAATAATTTTCACCATCTATTCTTTTCTACTGCTGTTACTACCCCAACTGAGATGATTTGTGTTAATGATTTGAAAGAAAGTCTGTGCATCAGACTATGTTAGAAAGGAGGATGTAGAGAGAGGGTACACATATGTGCCCATTAACAAAACATTAAAGCAGTGCCTTATGGCAATTGGGTCATACTTGGGGGTACCGTGTTGAATTCCTACTCCTCTTCACATCATTAGACAAAGCTCAGGATTTCCTGAAATCGATGCCCAGGCATTGCTTCCAGCTGCCTCACTTCAATTTTTATCAGTAGCTCAAAGTATGAAGAAACTCTGGGGAAACTGGCATAATGAAGTTCAGTAGATTCTACAGGAAATGGAAGTGAAGATTATTAAACCAACCCAAACTACACTGAGATTCTAGTAATTAGGGAAATGACTTCAAGGGATAGGCAAGATGCTATTCTAACAGAAGCCTGGGCTATAACAAACCAAACTTCACAACTGTGGAAAGTATACTTAGCAAAGAAAAGAAATAAAGCATGCTTAATTATCACAGGGGTTTGTCAACAAAGTTTGTTCAGAGCGGGTTTGCCATGGTCTGAGGACCCTTCTACATGGGTCCACGTGGAATCCACACAGCGATTCCCTCAGATGCCTCAGAGGTGGGAGGGAGTCTTTACTGCCCAGATGCGCTAAATATGGTTCAGCACTACATGTCAGTCACCCTAGATATTTCCTCCATTCCCCATGTCATGGCAGTCCACAGTCCCAATATGCCACCAGGAGAGTGTCCCTCACGTCATACAATGCCAAGGCATGCAAGGTGACACTCAGGAGAGTTGTGGCAGGTTCCAGTTAGAAACTGGCACAACTGTCCTGACAGCTCCTAAGTCAGGGGAAAGTCTAAATCCTGGGATAGGATTCAGGCTTCCCCCCAACCTAGGTTAACCTAGGGAAAGGCCTTTACTCTAGGTTAACTCAGATCAGCCCTGTGTGCTGACTTTATTCCAGGTTAACTCAGATCAGCCTTGTGTGCTGTTTAGATCCATTTTTACAGCCACTTAAGTGGTCAATGAACAGATGCCCTGGGAGAGGGTGACTTGCCCATTATACCTCAGTGGGTTTCTATGGCCAAACATGGATCCTAGCCTAATCCTAATGGTCTCCCAGAATCCTAGCCTGACACTCAAATTACAACACCATGACACAATTTTTCCATAATTATTTCATTCTTGAAATCATTTTTTCAAACTCTGCTTCAAATTCAAAAGCTTAAGATAGAACTAAAAAGTCAGTATTGCCTAATAAGGTTGGGATGGAGTACACAAAAATGGATTGGTTATACTACATAAGTTTTGTGTGATGCAAAAAGAGAGGAAGTATGATAAGGATATTATGATATACAGTAATTTTCTCTTTATACAGTATAATACTAATCTACTAATTGTTTAAATGAAATCTGTAGAATTTTCGTTTTAGATAATGATTAATATGAGAAAATGTTTAAAAGAAATAAGAAGAATCAATTCTAAGCACAAACAATCAAGATCAATTTTCAATAAGAGAAAATAAGAGGAATATATGACAATATAAGAAGGAATATAAGAACGAACAAGAAGATACGAATATTAGATTTAAAATTAAATTTGTTATAGAGGCTATATAGACTCTCCAATATCTTTTGTATGTTACTGAAATAGAGATGAAGATTTAGTTGTAACAAAGATAACTTTGCATAAGAAACCCCGTCATCCCAACAAACTCCACTTTTTTGTTCACTCTTTGCAACACATTAGATATTTGTAAAGGGTTAACCAATTTATAACAACTGTATTATTCTCATATTATTCCTTTACCCCTTTTCCCTCATCCCCATTCCCTCAGTATAAAATTCTTTTACTTTAAAAATGGTTAATAAAAATTACTTAAGCTCTTCTCTCACTCCCATCACTGTCTCAAGCGCGGTTGCTGGGCCTTCTCTGTGGTGGGCCCTCGGCTCTGGAACTCTCTTCCTAGGGAGATCAGACAAGCCCCTGCTTTCTCCATTTTCCACAAGGAATTAAAAACTTGGTTGTTCTGTTGTGCCTTTGACTAGGCAGTTCACTTGAGAATTACCCTGACCTTATCTAAGCTCCGGCACTTTAGTTGGTCCCTTTCTTGTACTTATGATACTTTAATGGTCAAGGGCATTACCCTGGCAACCCAGCCCTCTGACTATTGCATTTTCCCTTGGCTCTCCCAAGGAATCACTGCACTTACTCAGAGTCTGGACCCAGTTTCAAATTGGCCAGCCAGGGTATTGTTTTTATGATGTTAATTGATTGTAATGGTTTTTATTATTTGTTGTTATTTATTGTTTTTACTGTGTCTGTTTTATTTGTAATCCTTGGACTTGTCTCTCTGTAAGCTGCCCCAAGTCCTTCGGGGAGATGGAGGTGAGGTATAAAAATAAAATTATTATTAAACAAAAAAGAGAAGAATAGAGCACTAAAAGATGATTAAGACATAATAAAATAAAAATACCAAACCAATACTTCCGATGAAAAGCCTTGTCGGTCACAACACACTAAAATCTTCCCGAAATAAAAAGGTTTTTCCCAACCAGGGGAAAGACAGCAGGGAGACAGTCAACTGGATCTTCCAGAGACGGAAGATCCATAACTTGAGAGGATTTTATGACCTGTTCCCTTTTTCCTTCCTCTCATATTGCCAAGAAAAGTCTGAAAAGAGGTTCTAACTACACACAATTTATATTATAATCCATTAAATTTTATTTATATGCCAACAGCACAATATCTAACGCAGCTTACAAAGGCAACAAACAAGATTTAATTAATGATTAAACAAGTGACACAATGAAACACAATTAATTTTTAAAAATTAAAAAAGCAGAATTTACTTTATTTACTTATTTATGTACTTTATTTGTATACCGCTCTTCTCAGCCCTTAGGCGACTCAGAGCGGTTTACAACAGTTTAGATATACAGGAATAAAGTACAAAATACAGCCAAAACCTCCCATACAAGTCTCCTTGCCATCAATTAATATTTAAAAATCCAGCTGAATGCCACAGAAAGAGAACAGAGAGGAGATCTGTCTCAATTCCTACAGACACTGATTAGGTCCCATCCTGTGGTTCCATCAGACAAGTCCATGACGATGGCAGAACCATGGGAAAGTCCTTCCCTTAAGAACTTTAAGATTCTAGCAGGTTCAAAATAAGAAGATAACAGACAGTCTGGACCTATGCTAATTGGGACTTTTGAGGACTAGCACTTTGCATTGTGTCCAAAAATGAACTGATAACTATTTTCTCTGTAACTGGCCACAGGCAGCATTCTCATTTAAAGCCATTTGTTCTAGTTGAAGTTTCCGAACAATTACTAAACGTGACCCCATGCAGAGTACAAGAACGTTACATTGCAGAGCTCAACTCCACGCAGCTTTGGGCCCCCGCAAAGAGCAAGAGTATAAAAAATTAGCAGTCCATATTCAAGAAATCATCCAATAAAAATGAAGAATAAAATGGCAATCCATGTCCCCTTCAGCCTTATCAAAATCTTAAGATATAAATGTACTTACTTCATCTCCAGGATCTCTTCTAACTGTTTTCTCCGTTCTATTCTTAAATTGGCCAGATGTGCTTCTTTTTCACCCAAAGACTGTTGGGTTGAGGCAAGGCGTGCTTTGGTGGCATCCAGTTCTTGTCTGGTCTTATCCAGTGCATTCCTTAGTTCTTCTAGCTGAAAGGTATAAATTAATAAAGTGGTCACTGTTAATCTGAAATGAAGAATTAAGTTTTGCTTTGATTTCCCCACATTTGCTAATTATCCATTACCTTTAGAAGATTATAACAGGGGAAGTTTGTCTGGTACGAATGCTACTGTCCTTCCTTGTATTTGTGAACTTTTTTTTTTAGATAAATAGCCTATCTGACTGAAATAGAAAGTAGAGTACTTCAAATGACACACCTGTATATTTGCCTAGATGGAACTGGAACTTCCTGCTTGGAAAACATATCTATGTATGAGGCCTTACAAAAAACCTATATATAGAAGAGATAAATTGACACTATGATAGGAAATTCTGTCCATCCTTTGCTGCATTGGTCTATACAGAATCCCTTTCAGGGGGAGATAAAATGGGGTATAAATAAATAAACAAATAAATAACATTTTTCTGCCTGTAAAAACATGTACAATCTGGGTTTATTTTGCATTTCAACAAGACTATGAACACCTATCTATAGGGAACCTTATAGGATGTGGATGAATATGGCAGTTCCTGAGTTCCAATACAGTGGGCTTCCACAGCAGTGGTTTGTGTGTGTGTGTGTGTGTGTGAGGAGCGACTTGAGAAACTGCAAGTAGCTTCTGGTGTGAGAGAATTAGCCATGTGCAAGATGCCCAGATGTGTTATCATCCTGTGGAATGCTTCTCTCACGTTCCTGCATGAGAAGCTGAAGCTGACAGACATGAACTCACCCCGTTCTCCGGATTTGAACACCTGACCTTTCAGTCAGGTGCTCTGCCAGCACCCATTGCATGACTACTGTGGGTTTCACTGTGGCATCTCTGTTGCTTTTCAAGGTGTGTCTGTGGTTCATGTCCTGATACTACTAGGATTAGATCTCTTCATATACTGTAAAGGCAGGAAACACTGATATTTCCCTGGAGATATAACTTCATAATTCAAGAGTGTCTTCTGAGGTTATATCTCATTGTGAAAAAAACATTATTTTTAACTTTCCTGCTTGGAATGTGTATATAATAAAATATTATAGTATACATCACTTTTGCAGTACTGAAGTCCAGCCGCCACTGGTTTACACTCTGGCAGCCAAAACCAAAGCACTATAGATTATCTGCTCATAGCAAATACTTGTAGTAAAAATGGACCTTAACCAATGTATATTACAGTACCTACATATTTGTGTAAAACCTTATTTCTTTAATTATAAAAATATGTTTTTAAATACTTCTGAAGCCGAAGGTTTCATTTTGTACTCAGTATGCTTCCCACATTAATTCCACAGCCAGAGACAATTCTGGTTTAAATTCACAGATTACCAATGTTCATGTTGGATCTCTTAGTTCTGAAGATCAACATATCTCCAAAATAAATTTAATTTACTAATTGCAAAAAATAATCTAAGTTTTCAGAGGTAGAAGGCTTAGACTACTCTAGTAAAAAGGAGGGAAAATGCTGTGATTAAGTCTAATTGGTTTATCTGCCGCAAGCTTTGATAGATCCACAGTCTATGTCTCATGAGATATCTCTTGTGGTCCCTTCCAACTCTATGATTCTAAGTAGTCTCTTTGTATAAAACCTAGCATAAACAAGAAGTAGTATTTTTTTTGTTCTAGCTCAATATTTTTTTAAAAAAGCTGATGAAAGCATTTCACATAAGTGTTAAAAAAGGTTATGCCAAGAGGAAAATGTTTTCCTCCATTTCTGTTTATCTCATTTTATATACTTCTAAACTCCATGAAGCTGGTTCTACGAATGGTCCAGAATTTCCCTGCTTAGCTAGAATGGGTAAATCGGATTTCTCAGACTCACTTCCATTACGTCTCTAGGCAGAGGACATTGTCCTAAGGCTCAAAGACATGGTGCCCTAGGGTCAACCTCCAGGCTTTATTAGCTCAAGATCTAGCTGCAAAACTCTATGGAGCAGCCGGGCAAAAAGTTCTAGTTGGTTGATGCCAAACCACTTGTAAATCAGTATCTTGCATATTGAGTTCTCAATTCATCAGACCTGGAGAGGGCTTGGGAGAAATAACTGCTGCCATACCACAATTTCCCAGGATATTTCAGAAGTATGAATGACCCAACCTCATCAACCTGTTCTCCATTTTCTCTTTCAGTGCAACTCTACTGGGGAAATTCACTTCAAAATTAGGGAAAGAGATTCATTTTTATATTATGCTTTCAAAACTTGTGACAATTTCAACCTTCGAAGTAACTCTGTTACTTTACAGTATAGTCTGCTTGGAAAAGAATTCTCTTTGATGGAAAACAATTAGGCACACGATTTCCACCCCCATCTTCCTTCTCTCTAAGGCACTTTAGATAAACCATGCAAGGAGTGCAGAGCAAGTATTTAGCTGGTGTTAAAGTACAGCGCTGTCAAACTGGCCTCTCTGGTTAATGTCAATAGCACTACATATAAAAGGTGACTAAAGTGTGTACAAATGTTGATCTTTGGAAAAGGCATGCCTAGAATCATATACATATCTATTCTTTCATCCACCAGGGCAATTGTAGAGAGAGAGAGTGAACTGGGGGGGGGGGAGGAGACTCCCATTACACTTGCTGGGTTTTATTCCACAATATAACTTCTTAAATATGATGTGTAGCAGTTTTGGATACCCATCTCATTTGTTTTTGTGAGGCAGCAGAGAGACACAGTGGGTGTTTGCAGACCATCAGTCAACACATTCAAAAAGCACTATCATATTACATGATTTATTTTATTTTTAATTCATTACAGAGCACTTCATGGTTATAGATGTATAGCTAAAATAATATAATATGTAGGAAAGTAATATGATTTCAAATAACATGATTTCAGTAAAGATACCATGCAATACTATGCTACACCCCTTTTTTCTTATACCAATTTTGGTATGATGTTTGGATTTTATCACGAGGCTACTATCTGCGTGACCGTATTTCCATCTACGAATCCACACAATCCCTTCGATCCTCCGGAGAGGCCCTTTTTGTTGGCATTTTGAATATGAACTCAACAGGAGCAGAGGAGAAAGGATAGTAAAAGAGGAGCTGATGTATTTATTTGTATTTCCAGCAATCATAATTGTAGCTAAGATAATCATGAAGAAAAATTTCCTTTTTTAAAAAAACAACTGACCATAACCTTTCTGAAACTATAACTGACACCACAAAACACAAAAAGCAATCCAAGGTTTCAGTAGCATCTTTGATATTAACAGTAAATAAATAATTCCTACCAAAAGCTAGTTGGGAAAAGGTGAAGCACTGTTATTTTTAATACAGCTTTGTACAAAAAGACCAGGACTATCTTAAAGGAGACATCTCACTTCCACTTATAAATTGGGATATTTCTTTTTGATGAAAAGTATATGCACAGTTTAAAAGAATGTTTGTTTTTTGGGGCAAAATCACTTAAAATGTCATTAACACTAATATTATCAATTGATGACTTATTCATGAAGCATTAACTGCATTAATACTAAATCCACTGATTTTTCCATAACCAGCACTGCTATTATTTTCAGATCTATTTAGCTTTGATAAGATATTGAGATATGCCTTCTCCCTGGGACCTATGTCAATCAACTTTGGAAAAAGTCCTATGAAGAGTATTGGACCAATAATTGTAACAGAGGCTTCCGGATACTAGATTTTATTCCATATTTGAGGAAAAGGTGAGACGCAGAAGGAGGTATAGTGACTCACTGCTAGACAGCTTTTCCTCCCTGGTTTCTACTAAAGATCCCCAAACACAGCCAGTAGGAAATTTCATAGATAATGTCCTTGTGGGAAACATGTCAGGCATGTCCAAACACTGTAAAACATTTTAACACTCAGAAGACTCCAAGAACTTTAAAACTGAGGATAAAAACCTGTTAAACAGAATATCCTGCTTCTCATGGTGTAAATGCACGATATTCTCCTGAATATATAGAGCACATAATTATATTCAGAAAACAAGGCTATATCGTCCTCCTTGAACATAATTAAGCTTAAGCCAAATTGAAATGACTGTGACTTAGTCTCAACCATGGTAAATGGAGGATAGTAGCCTAAGGGGGGAAAGACTTAAATGTTATGTCAGAATTTGTAGTTTGATGAAACAGAAGCAAAAAGTATAAATGGTGTTAATTACTAGCCTTCAGCCAAGCTAAGCAAAGACTGTAATTGCCAAATTATGACTCTAGGAATTATTCTCAGACTCAGTTCCTCATTTGTAGAATAGATATAAATATGGTGGTTCATGATAAGTTTACTTCAAGGATGAATGGGCAAAACATTGCAGTGTAGCTAGCGCACAGTTTTAAATGTTCCATATAATTATAAAATCAGCATAACTGAAGAATATAACTGAAGATTTATATGTCACAATTCACACCTGATTGTGTAGGCAAAGACACAAAGGCTTATTGTGTAGACAAAGATATTAAGGCTGGATCTACACTGCCATATAATCCAGTTCAAAGCAGATAATCTGTATTTTATATGACTGTGTAGATGGGACCCAACATCACTACATAAGGCTCTAGGTATGATTCCAGCCCGCCTCACAGTTTAGCATCCGGGGAGAACCTGCTCTCAGTCCTACCAGCTTCACAAATGTGTTTGGTGGGGATGAGAGACAGGGCCTTCTCTGTGATGGCTCCCCACTTGTGGAACTCGCTTCCCAGCGAGATAAGGTCGGCTTTATCCCTCCTGTCTTTCAGGAAGAATTTGAAATCATGGTTCTTGGACCAGGCTTTTGGACAGCAGGCATAACAGCACCTTGGATGTAGAATTGGACTTGAATGGTTATATGGCTGACAATAATGTTTTAGTTGTTTTAATTAATGTTCTATCTATTCTTTTAAATTGTTGTTATATTGTTGTATTTGTTTGTATGTTGCGGCATCAAATTGTTGCCGAGTGTAAGCCGTCCTGAGTCCCCCTCCAGGGGTTGAGAAGGATGGGATAGAAATGCTGGAAATAAATAAATAAATAAATACAGGAGATGCTGAGCAGCAGT